GGAAGATGAGGCAGTCTGCTTCCATAAAGATTTACAGCCTTGGAAACCCAATGGGAGTCACTATGAGTCAGAGTTGACTTGATGGCAGTGGGTTTTTTTGACATTTATTGAGCAGAAATTTATTCAAATTTCTCTGTTTTTAAAAAAAAACTTTATTTTGAAAGAGGTTCAAACTTTCAGAAAATTGGCAAGAATAGTGCAAAGAACTCTTTATGCCGTTGGCACAGAGACCTCTTTCCTTTGTAGCAAAGGATCCACCAGGGACCAGAGCACACACCATTCCCAGTGGTCACATCTCTTTAGTCTCTCAGTCTAGAACAGTTCCTCCATTTTTCCTTGACTTCCATGACCTTGACATTTTTGAAGGTAATAAGGTAGTTGTTTTGTATATGCAAAAACGGCAAGGAGGCCACAAGTTCTGACCTCCTCTAATCCCACAAGAGGAAGACAGGATTACCAGCAGTAACCCAAGGCCTACTACTGCAAGGCCAGACATGCTGCCTCCCTCCAGCCCTTTCTCCAACCGTTCCTCCCAAAGCACCCACCACCTCTCTCCTGGGCTCGATAATTCACTGCAGTAGCCACACAGAACTCACAGAGTATGGGGTTTATTAGGGAAGCACCAGGCTACAACTCAAGTTCAAGAAAAATGCTCAGTCTCTCTCCCAGCCCACCGTCCCTCGGCCAACAGTCTCTCACAGTCTCTTTCCCAGCAGCACTGGTCCCTCGGTGTCTCACTCAGCAATGCGTGTCTCTTGCGGCTCTTTCCCAGCACGCCTGTCTCTTTCAGGGGCGCGTGTCTCTTTCGGCAGCACGTCTTCTTCAACCAGCAGTCAGAGAGAGTTCTGCCTCCAGGACGCCTCCTTTGAGCCCGGAAGGGTGGTCAAACTAGCCAATCACAGCATCAGAACTCTAAGCACATGAGAGAGAGTGGGCACCTCCCAGAACATTGTATTGTGCCACTCCCAACAGAAATAACCCAGGTGGATAGCTTCAGCAATCAGGGGCTGCTCAGTTGCTCATACAAAATCCCACCTTGGAGTTTACAAAGACTTATGGGTAGAAAAGCCACACTAAGTAATTTACTACACCGCAGTATAATATCTCTCAGTTTTGTTATATTACAGATTTGGTGTTCGTTTCATTTCACCCTATGTGTGCAATTACTAATGGTGTTAACCTTGTTCACTTGAAGCTCAACAAGGTATTCCAGGCTCATCTTGTTTTTTCCATAACCCAGCCCTGGAATTAGCCATTTCTCCAAGGAGCCCTGGTTCCTTTTAGTGGAGGATGGGTGGGGGTGGTATTTGAAAACCACCAAGATCTGGGTGCTAGGAATGCTCAGTACTGTTGAAGTGTTGCTGTCTCTGGGCCCTCTCAATAGATAGTGCTACGGAATTTTGTTTATATTTATTCGTTTATCAATTTTAGGTATATGTTGTGTTCATACAAATACCTCTAGTTGCAATCTAACCACAGGATTAAGTCTGTCTTTTTTAAAATGTGCCGATGCCCTTATCCTTAATAGATTTCTCTCATGTAGGAAAATCTTGAATCTGTGAAACAGTTGCTAAAACCTCATAAAATAATGTATCTATAAACTAAAAACCAAGCTCACTGCCATCAAGTCAATTCTGACTCATAGTGACCCCCTTTGGGTTTCTGAGGCAGTAAATCTTTATGGAAGTTGATTGCCCAGTCTTCCTTCCTCGGAGTGGCTTGTGGGTTTGAACCGCCAACTTTCAGGTTAGCAGTCAAATGCCTTAGGCACTACACCACCAGAGCTCCTTAATGTATCCATAGGTATTAATGAATATGGAATAACCTACGTTGCAGGAGCAATAATAATCTAAAGATGCCATGCTGGGAAGTGAGATTTAAGTGGAATATACTGGAGACAGGCATTCCAGGTGGAGCCAAGAGCATGTTCAAAGGTGTAGAACTTAGAAAGTGCACATACTGTGCTGTAAGAGTGTCTGGGTGTATGGTAGAGCTGACAAGGGGCAAGGTTGTGGTGGCTTCTTGGCCACAGCCATCTACCCTGAGGGAGTGAATAGTTGGACTTGTGGGCTAGGGACTATGGTTGCGGGGGACATCAAGCTCAATTGGCATAACATACACAAAAACATTGTTCTACATTCTACTTTGGTGAGTAGCGACTGGAGTCTTAAAAGCTTGCAAGTGACCATCTAGATGCAACGATGGGTCTCTCTTTGTTCAGAGCAAAGAAGAATGAAGTAAAACAAAGACACATAGAAACAATTAGTCCAAGGAACTGGTAGATCATGCAGTCGTCAGCCTATATGACCACAAGACTAGAAGAACTAGATGGTGCCTGGCTACTACTGTCAACTACTCAAAAAGGGATCAGTCTAGGAGATCCTGGATGGAATAGAGAACAATATGGGACAGAACTCAAAATAGTAAATGAAAAAGACCAGGTTTACTGGTTTGGTAGAGCCTGGTGAGACCCCCAAGACTATAGCCCCTAGTTACCCTTCAAGTCTGGAACTGTATTCATTCCTGCAGCTTCCAGCCAAACAACAGACAGACATACAGGATGAACTTTACATTAGGTAGATACCCCCTTGGAGCGATCCATCGTGGGAGAAAAGAAGGGCAATATTTGCACAGGGAGATTGCTCGGGGAAGCTGGGAGTACATAGGAGAGGACACAGGGAAGAGATAACTGCAGAGAGGAAGTAGGAAGAGAGCTGTTAACATTGTGGGGAATTGTAGTCAATGTCCTGAAATAAAATATGTATGAACTGCTGTATGGAAAATTAATTTGCTTTGTAAACTTCCAGCCAAATCACAATAAAAATAAAAAAGGGAAAATGTACATACTGGCTTGGTGTCAGAAAACAGACTTTCCTGTTTGGAGCAAAGGATGATGAAAAGTGAAGCTTATAAAACTGACCGACCGACCAACCAGTGGTCTTATCTCCTGTAGATTCTATAGATCCGGGGCTCAGAAAGCTACAAGTGTCCCAGGCAGTTATTTTGGTCAAGTTTGAGGAAACCCTGGCCTAAATGATCAACCTAAGACAGTATAATTAGTATCCAACCAAAACCCAAACTGTCATCAAGTCAATTCTGAGTCATTGAGTTTCCAATTCCAACCCCATTGGGTTTCCAAGGCTGTAAATCTTTACGGAAGTAGATTGCCCCATCTTCCTTCCACAGAGCAGCTAGTGAGTTTGAACCACTGACCTTCTGGACAGCAGCCAAGTGCCTTATCCACTATTCCACCAGAGCTCCTGGTAATTAGGATAATAGTTGTCTAAAAACTCATTGCCATTGAGTTGATTCTGACTCATAATGACCCTAAAGTGCAGAGTAGAACTGCCCCATAAGGTTTCCAACACTAAATCTTTATGGATGCAGACTGCCACATTGTTCTCCCATGGAGCAACTGGGGGGTTTAAACCACCATCCTTCTGCTTAGCAGCCATGCGCTTCACCATTGTACCACCAGGACTCCTTCATAGTCAGGACTCCTTCAAGTCGGGGGGGAACACTGGAACCTCTGTGCATGAGAACTTTTACCACACAGATGTCCTGGTTCTGCGTGGACTCATTGATCATAATAGCAGGGATAGAGGGCCAGTAGGCATGAGTTTGAGATGTGGGAGGGAGCAATCTGTAGGGAATTTTTTCTGGTAGAGAACCTTTAATACTAAGACAGAGTCTCTGCAAAATGTGGCAGTGTTGAAGTTTCAGTGAAGCAAAGAACCTGGAAGAGGGCTGTCGCTTAATATTCCGGCTTTTTCAGAGCTTGTGTGCACATCCCCTTTGCCACAGGACAGTGTCTAGAACAAAGCAGTAACAACATGACAATAGATAGCATACTCTGAGTGTATGCACCATACCAAGCGCTGTGCTGAGTACTCTGCCTGAGTTCATCCTAATCATGCTTCTCCACAACCCCATGATACACGTACTATTCCTATTCCTATGCCTATTTTATAGTTACAGAAATTAAGGCTTAGAGAGCAGCACAGTCACTTGCCCAAGGTTACCCAATTCATCGTGGAGCCAGAATACAACCCCAGTTGCAGTTCGATTGTAGCAGTCATGCTCTATGTGCTCAGTTTGCTGGATGAACAAAGACCAGCAGTAGAGCAGAAAGCTCACGGATATTGAAGAAACATCTCATGGGAAGTTAAAATACACAAATGTTACAAACATTCTGCAAATAGAATGAGTTTTTTCAAGTTGGAAGGAGAAATCCCCTTCCCCTCCCCCCTCAAGAAGTTGTGTCCACCTCTGCTTGGGAGGCACCAGTGGCAGTGCCTACTCAGAGAGGAGCCCACCCTGGTTTACGGCGGCCTCTCGCCTCTGCGCCTCTGATCTCCCCCACTTCACGTTTCACTCGGAGCCCTCTGGTGCCCCGTTGTGTCCACCTGATTCCTCTTGCTGATTAACTGGATGATGCCTCTACACAGAGCTCAGGAGGGAGCACTGCTTGTTCTCTGCCTGGATCACTCCTCCCCACAAGAGCCACTGGATTTGCCTCTGCAGGTGTCACTAACCAGAGAGGCCTTCCACAGCCAGCCAGCAGAACAGCACCTGCCCACAGCCATTCTTGTCCCCAGCAGCCCTCAGCCCCACCTGGCATTTGTTTACTCTCCCCTCACCCTGCCTCAGAACGTAAGCTCCTTGGGAAAAGACTTTGTGTATTTGGGTTCTCTGCTGCATCATCCCCAGCCCTGGAACAGTTACTGACACAAAAGAGACGCTTCATAAATACATGTTAAATGAGAAGAAGAGAGGCTTAAGAACTGACTTCCACTCTGGGAAGCTGGGGAGGGTAACAGATTATAAGTGCTGTGGCTTTGGTGCGGTGGCTTGTGCAGAATCCTGTCCTTCTACTTTCCCGCTTTGTGCACACAAGAGATGCCTCCACCGTATCTGTGGCAGGACTGAAGAGAAGGTGGGCTGTATTTGCTAATTGTAGCCCCAAGAGCCTCCTATTTTCCCTGCTTTTTCTGTTCCAGATGAGACAGAAGGACCCGGTGAAAGGAATGACAGCGGATGACTAAAGCCACCCCTCCCCGTTCTGCACTGTATGTACCAAATTTTTACTGTACATGTCATGGAAGCTAAAGTCAGTTTGGGTCCTCAAGGCCTAAGCAACTCAGTGTGAAGTCAGAAACCTCCTTCGTACCTCATCCTTCCCTCATGATGATGGCAGCCACGCTAAACAGCTCTCGGGCTTCAGGTCCCATGAAAGAGATTATAAGTGTTAGGACTTTCCAAGGACATTTTACTTTGCAAAGAACTGCCTAGCTGGACAGAGACAAGGCAGTGAGGAAGAGGGGGAGAGCCTGCACGTAAACGCCTAGCTCATTCACTAGTAATTACTCCTCCTCTCGCAATTTGAGCCGTTCCATACTCCTATACTCGCAATGCCAGAGCCCATCCTAGCTCCCAGATGCTGGCGTTCCCTGCCCTGCCCTTGGGAAACTTGCTGCCCAGACAGCTTTTCCTAGCAGTCATTGTTGCATCTGGTGCTTCATTTGCTCCTCCTCTCTACCCTCTGATTCCATACTCAGTAGCTCTCCTCATCAGAGGCAGCATCTTTCCGATGCTGGGAGCATGTTTCTTCCCATGCCATAGGATTACGATGGAGTGTCACTTGTTCTGGGTCATCACCCCTTCCTTCATTGGCTCCCCAGTGCTGGTTGCCCAGTGCCCTGCACACCTCCAGACTTGCTGTTCCCAACAGCTCAGAGTAGTCCTGATCATAGAGTGAAAAACCTAGCCCTGCTCCCCATCAGCTCTGAGAGAGTTACTTTATCACTTACAAGCTGGCTGTCCTTCGGACTCAGAGTCTCACCAGCATTGATGGAAACCTCTATTCCCCTCTCCTCTCCCTGCCCCTTGAAGCAGCTTCTGGGAGTTAGGAGGGTAGGGTTCAGCAGATCGTCGCAATGCTAGCTTCTCGATCATTGTTTGGGCCCTATTGTCTTGTTGTGTCCCATAACACCTGCCCCACCTCCCCCACTGACTGGCCATCTTCCTGCTTTTGAAATTCTCCCATTAAAGGTGATTTACAGTGTGTTTCTATTTTCCCCCGTTGCTTCCTTAATGATTGTATTTCTTTTCTAGTTTTGCAAGACAGTGGTCAACAGGAAGGCCCAGCAGCTCCACCCTCCCGAGTGACAGGCCATCTTCGGACGCAGCCTTTCTGTGCCCATTCTTCAGGCAACTTTCGATTCCTTACTGTAGCTAATCCTAGATGCCCTTTACTATTGTAAGCGAATAGACCGTCTGGTATTATGAAGCCCATGTGTTCAGGAGCTTGCTCCTCTGAGATACGTGGTGGGCAGGCTGCTGTATTTACAGCTCCTCCCCCTCTCTCCATTGTGTTCTGACCCATTTCTGTGTGTGCACCCTCCCCCCTCAAACTTCATTTCTAAGTGACATTTTTAGTCTTTCAAAATAGCTGCCTTTTGTGATGTGGTGATTTAAACAGTTTAAGTTTGTTTGTTTTCAACCTTGGGATAAACTGAGGTATTTTGCTTCCTGGGCAGATCTTTGCAATTTTGAGTGTGCACCTGGGGAGAGGGGATGAGTTAGAAATACAGTGTTTTTTACCCTCTAGTTCCACAGAATCGCAATGAGGCTTCATGACTCTGACATCTGTTCCCAGTAACCCATGTTCGAGTGCTTTAGGCACCAAGGAGGCACCCAAGGAGCAGCCAGTCTCTGTTTAAGAAAAGTTAACAAATGCAAATAATCCCAGCTCCAGGCATTGCAGCTCTGGCCACTATTCCTAGAATATCCATGACTTCTCAGTCCTCCGGTTGCCCACTCTGTCTGCATCACTCTGCAGAGCCCGTCATGTGCCCTAGCCAGCCACCTCTCCACCTGGAGGGACTGGTCCAGTTTGGCCCTTAGAATTGAGTCTGCCCCGCATACACTACCGTCTGACCCCAGGGAGTTCTGTATGTCCCTTTTGGGCTGGTGCTGCCACTCAGCAATAATGCTCTTTTCTCCATGCTTTCTCCGATCCCTGTCCTCCGTCTTTGAGGCTGGTCAGGGCCCAAGTCCTGACCTTTCCATGCTGCACAAAATTAGCATGCAAAAAAGCTTCCTTCCCAGTAGAGCACGTTCCCTTTTGTCTCCAGGGTTGCTAGAGAGGAACGTGGGGATCAAGGACTCGGCTCACCCTGTCCCCATGCTGAGTTCTGTCCTGGACAATCAAATGCAAGTAGTGATTGGAGTACAGAACTCTATCAAAGTAGGGTGGTGAGTAAGTCCAGGCTCCAGGCGAGTGGAACCTGCTGCGGGGTTCACAGTTCGCTGTGACGTGGCAGAACTGGAGTGCGCCTGCCTGGTGGGAGAGTCTGAGATAGCTGTGGCGTCGCCTGACTTTCTCCCAAAGCTTGTGAAGTCTTCTGGCTTGTGTGTGCAGTCATCCGGGCCCATGCTAGCCTGGATGCAACTGCTAATGAGAGACGGGATCTCTGGGGGAGCAGGGGGTGGGATGAGATGATTTGTCCCTATGGTTTTGTCTGTTTGCTTTGCCTTACTCATTTCTAAGTGCAATAAGGGAGTGTCTCACAGGATTGCACCTGTGACACCCTGACTGATGCTTCCCTGTGGCCCTTCTGGGGCAAGGGTAGACAGACTCAGACCCCTCAGGGTGGTTTGCTCTGACCTTCATTGAGGCCCCTTTGGGACCAGGAGATATGCTGAACAGACACCTTCCTCTTTGTTAGTCTCCTCACTTGTAGAGTCTGTAGGAATGGATCTGGGGCATTTCCATTGGTTATTAGCATCCCAACTGCTGGTATAAATGCTTTTATTTGACTGGGAAAGTTGGAGAAGAGGCATTCCTATGGAAGGAAAAATATAATGTTTTCCTACAAGGTGTTTTAGTAATCATATTGTGCTTAAAGATTTCCCTTCATTTATTAACTAGCTGAAGTCCAGATGTGGGTTATCCTGAGAAAAACACTTGATAATCTAAACAGACACTTGGTTTTGTGGTTTGAGGATCAGCAGATGTCTTCTTCCATCTTTGAGATCCATGCATATCACTTCAGCTCTAGTGGAGGCTTTTCTTTAGTTGCCTTTTTTCTGACTCTTCTCACCTTCACCTCTTCCCCCAGGTTAGCCTGGAATAAAAGCATCTACATGAGCTGAGGTAGGATACCCTGAGGTCAGCCTGGATTTCAGGCCTCCTGTCCACATAGACACAGAGGAGGCTGGTCCCAGACCCACTCTATCCTCTGGAGTGATGTTGCTGCCGGGCAACAGTGTTGGCCTCTTTGACGTACAGTCCTCTCTCCTCCCCCATCCCCCAAACCAAGCAGCACTCAGAGGGGCTTAAGATGAACAGTTCAGCTCCAGGGATAGTACCCAAGGACGTGCCACACCCCTTCAGACCAGCTGGTTCCATTAGATTTCCAGGGATGTAGTCTTATCTGGAAACAGCAGTGCCTCTTAGAAGGGGTACTGGGCTCTGGCCTCAAGGAGGGAGGTCAGGAACAGGGTCAGTATTGTGGGCACATGTATACCTTCCCAAGTTCTCCTCTTACAGTCCCTGCTGGGACCCCCCGACTTGTTTTGGTTGGTTCCTAGTGCTACTACTTTTACAAAATACACTTTGTAGAACTGATTAGATTACCTTGTTCATTTAATGTGAGTTTGTGCCTTTTTGTCTCAATCTTCCAATACAGGTATATTGGGAAAAAAAGCAGTCTAATAAAATTCTAGACAGAACTCTCTGGAGTCCAGCTTATTGGTGATGTCCTCATGTCCATTTTACAACTTAGATATCCTCAAATTCTTGATAACCCCTATTTTACCAGGGTAGGATTAGGGAAAGGTTCTAGATATGTCTGAAAATTTGTACAAGTGGGTTTCTGTAAATTAAAACATTTTTCTTATTAATTTACATACTGCAAACATTGCATATCTGGATTTAATTTAGCCATTTCACACCGGCAATATTTCCTTTTTGCCTTTTCCTCCCCTTCTCTTCACATCTCCCTCTCTACCAAGCAAAGCCCTTAAAAGTTGGTGTTCTTAAACTGCCTTCCCGTCTGTGAACCTCCCAAGGCTTGCTTGTAAAATTGTGTGTGCATTTGTCTGGGTTGAGTCATGTCTCTAAACAGATCCTCAAAGGAATTCCATGCCCCTTCCCCCAAAAAAAGATTAAGAACTAGTGATTAGAACGAAATCACAGTAGAACTTCGGCAAAATAAATAATCATTTCCTATGTCTGGTCGTAAAATAGGGCAGTGACTTGTGTTTCGTTCACTGATGGTTAATTTTCTGAGTCCAGAAAAAATGTCCCGCGTGCAATAAGTAATTCAATAAATTTTATATGCCTAAAACTCTTGAAATTGGGAGTAGAGGAGAATTACGAATGGCAGAGCTCGATGATGAACGTGAAAATTGGGGAAATTGCCTTTATTTGGTGGGGACGAGACTGGATTACACAGCAGACAGTGCCTAGACTCTCATTCCCTTCATCATTTGGGTCTCTGGACGTTGGGAAACTAGACAGCGCAGAGGTCAGCGACCTCAGATTCGTCATTAGCAAAACTGGACGACCAGCCTCGCAAAGTAGTTACGGTTACAGGTGGCTTAAGGATACCCACGAGGGCGTGGCGGCGGCTTCTGCCGGAAGACAGTCGCTGCCTGCCAGCCTCGCGCGCAGCGTTCTGGGAGCTGCGGGCTGCGGACAGTGATGCGTTGGGGTCGTTGGCATCTACCATACACCCAAATGATGGGTGGGGCAGTGTTACGTCTTGCTGTGATGACAAACGAGACGCCTCTTACGTCCCATGATCCCCTAAGCGCCGCTCAGCCTTTCACTGTTTCGCGCTCGTTGGAGAGTCCCACCCCTTCCTTCGAACTGCACCACTCAGAGCCCTCCGTGATCGCAAGACCCGCCTCTTACGGGAGCCGAGGCGGAGATTCTGAATCCGGAAGAAAAACACCCGGGCTAGAGTGAGTTCTGCAAGGACCTGACGCCGGAGAGGCTGATCGTGCTAGGACGGGTAGAGTTGAGGAGACAGAGGCCTGCAGCGCCACTGCATGTGGACGATGGCTGACGTGGACCTGCAGGAACCGGCCGAGCCGAGAGGCAGGAAACTCAGGTGAGGAAGACTGCTGCAGGTAGGCCTGCTCTGGGCGGAGCCACTCCTGACCTTGTCTGGGCTGTGGGTCTGGGGGCGGGCCCAGGCTCGGAAAGAAGGGGCCGGGCCTACTGGCTGCCACAGGTTCAGAGGATGCCTGCCTCATGGGCAACTTTCCATCCAACCACTCCTTTGATAAACACTTCCGTCCCAGACCCTTCCAGGCCATTGTCAAGTGGGCTGTGTTGGACACGAGTCCCGCGCCCACTCTAAACTCAGGCTTCCAGGTTCGTTTCCACTCGGGTGCCCCAAGTATGTGTCCCACTTAGCCTCTGGAGGAGGCAGCCGTCTTGGGCTGCTTGAAGTTAAAGACAAAACTAGGTATTCTCCCCTAAGCCCTAAAGTGGAAAGCTTGCCCCTACTTTTGATCAGCACATACATCACGAGGTCTGTCAGATCTACTTGTGACCTTCTGAAATCCGCAATCTGATTTAGATAAGATCCTTTAGTGAAGTAATACAGTTTGGTCCCATGGCTGCTCCTTACCAAGGAACAATGCTACTCATTAACTCCGTGCAGGTCACAACGCAGGGATTTGCTGCTGAGTCGTTGGACCTGAGAGTTGTGGCAGGAAATCCCAAGCTTTGCTCTTGTTCCACTTAGAGCAAAATTCTGAAAAAAACAAAACAAAACAAAACAAGGAGCCTTTGAGTTAAATGACTGATCTTCTTAATCCTCTGCTGGACGGCAGGGGGAGATGGTAAACAAATGAAATCCTTAAACTGGGGCTGAGTGCCTGGGAAGGTAGTTTGTGTTTTGCTTTTTGTGTTCATTGGGAGGGGCAGGAAATTGCTTTAAACAGGCTAGGAATTTCTCCAAGTCGTGGTTTTTAGAACATGGACCTTCAAGAACAGGGTCTTGTGGAGAATAAATGTTTTGGGACATCCTCCCTTTTCTCCCACTTCTCCATCCCCCTGTCCCTGGTCCCATTCTAGGTCTTCAGTTGCTACAGGTCCTTCTCATGATGTGGAGACTTTAGAATTTACACAAGGTTTGGTGGCTGTTCTTGATCTCAGCAAGGTTTGCAGCCCCTTCCCGCCCTGTACTTAGAGTGGTCCGGGGTTTCCTTAGTGTGTTGCTGTGACAATTCAGTTAAAGAGATCACCAAGTCTCCTGGTCACTGAGCCCCTGATGGAAACCAGTGTCACTGGGAGCTGCTGACTTAGTGCTGTTGCGTCCCTAGGGTTTGTATGAAGTTGAGATGGAGAATGTTATTCAGATGACGGCTTTTCCCTAAGGAGGATAGACTCTAGAGAGATGTGAAGAAACTTGTTACTTAGCAGTTTCTCTTTGGGCCCTGTACAGAATTGGTCGTGCTCCAGGGATCTGCTAGGAAGCAGCGAGGAAGGGAATGTGAAGGGGTTATTGCTGTTTTTTTTTAAGATTTCCCTGTTTCTGTGTTGCTGATCCCTCTCACTAGGTGGAAGAACTGAGCCTCCAGGATCTTCCTGGTGGGTTTCAGGAATCTTGGGTTGAGAAAGTGAAGGTAGGGAATTGCTGCCTAAGGTTTGGATGGCTGGTAGAGCTGTTGGAATCAATAAGTTCCTGACTATCCACTCCACCCCCACCTGTTCCTGTGCCTGTCCCAGTCTGGTGAGGGCTCCCTTTGGGAGCTCTGCTAGTGTAAGCTGCACCAGTGCCACCAGGTGTGGGCAGCTGGAGGCCTGCAGGAAGGAGCCATCCAGAGTTGAGGATTTTTTGCCTCAGGGGAAGAGGTGAAGAAAACAAAAGGCTCCTTGTTCATTGCCTCCATTCCCACTGCCAGATACAGAATCTCACATTTCTCAACATAACTGCATTGCATTGTATTGCAGCCATTAGCAGGCCTAGACTCCTTTCCATTACCTGGGCAAGGTCTTATCCTCGTCCTTCCACGACCTACCTTTGCATCCCCTCCGTAGCATACATGTCGTGACATGGAACGTGGCCTCTGCGGCACCCCCTCTAGACCTCAGTGACCTGCTTCAGCTGGACAACCAGCACCTGAATCTGGACATATATATCATTGGGTAGGTGTCTGCAGGGCCCTTTCACCCATCCCCAGATCTGAGGTCAGGTGAGCCTGACCAGACTCCTGTTGGTCCTGTGGGAACTGCTATCACCTGTCTTCCCTCACTCTGGAGTCTGAAGGCTAGGAGCTTCTAGCCTGCACCAGGTCCCGTATAACGTCTCTTGGCCTGGGTCAACAGTAGCAAGGGGATGGAGACCAACAGGTAGGGGAGGGAGAGACCGTGGTCATCAGAACCCAAGACTTAAAAGTCTGGTGAGGGCAGCACTAAGTGTGGCAGAGGCAGTACCCTCCAAGCCAGGGGTGTGGTCAGTTTGCAGGAAATGAACTGTGGGATCATGAGCCTTCTTTCTGACACTGCCTTTGATGACCCATGGAGCAGTTTCTTCATGGATGTGCTTTCTCCTCTGAGCTTCATCAAGGTAATGTACAAGTTTGTCTGTCATGGGAAAATGTGTCTCACCTCTTATCACTAACCCCCAGTCATTTGGTCTGATGTGTTCCTTTTACTCCCAGTCAGGCTTTCTCACTGTCTCTCATTTATTTAAAGGTTTCAATCTCAGTTGCACTTGGCTTCCTGGGGCTCCTACCTACCTTGTGGCTTTGCAAAGCAGCTGGAGCTTAGTGGGACCCAAGGGGCTAGTTTAACACCATGATATTTTTCAGGTTGGAAGAATTCCTAGGGGACATGCATCAAAGCTAGTTAACACCGCAGTGCCTACCCTACCCCTAGCCCCCAATCTCTCCTCACACACCTAGCCTGAAATCTCTGAGAATGATAATACGTACTAACCATTTATCAAATGCTTACTTTCTGTTAGACATTATAAGTAAGTTCTTTACATACATTATTTTAAAATCTTAACCATCTTGAAATAGGGGTATTTTACAGATAAAACCAAGGCTCAGAGATTATGTGCCCAAGGTGTCGTATAAGCTGTCTACATTTTGAATCCAGATCTTCCTAATTTCAAAACCCATGTTCTTAACTTCTATGCTTTATCGTCATACTCATGAGCTCTAAGGCTGGCAGGTATCCCATTGCTAGCCTGCTGGTGTCAGAAGGTGTCCTCCCATCATAGGAGACACACATCTCAGTTTCCCAGGGGCCCAAGATGAGAGGAAAGGAGAGAAGTATGGAGGAGAAGGGTTCTCAGGCTGAGAGACGAGTCTACTTTGGGGAATCCTTCGCCCATAGTACGAGTCCATAGGAAGGCCCTAGGTTGGTGGCTCTCTACTTTGTTTCTGCCCTGCACACCTGAGGGATGAAACACTCATCCACTCAGTGCACCTAGTAGGGTGCTTCTTGGAAACACCAGAATACCCCCTGTTGCCTAGATGAGCTGCTTCTGGCCTACTCGGGATAATTCCATTATACGTATGTTTGCCTCGGGAGTTCTGATGGCGTAGTGCCTGAGTCATTTGACTGCTAACCTGAAGACTGGCAGTTCAAACCCACTAGCCACTCCTCAAAAGGAAGGTAGAGCAGTTTACTTCCCATAGTGATACCACCTCGGAAACCCAAGGAAGGGTCGCTATGAGTCAGGTCCGACTCGATGGCACATAACAACAACAACAACAACAGTTTGCCTCGGTGCAGAGCTGGGAGGAGGGTGCACAAGGTTTAGTCCTGCTGCTGAGGCTAGAAACTGCCAGCCCCTGCGCCTTTGACTCCCTCTAGCTCAAACTCAGAAGCCTCTTCCTGTGGACTTGGAGCTATATCCTCCGGGGAGGACAGAACCACTTCTCTCTCACCACCTGCTCCCCTCCCAGGGCTGCAGACCTGCTTGTGCTTTGGCTAGCTGACAGGGAATTGGTACAATGGAACTGAGCCAAGGAAATTAGGTTAGCTATGGCAGGGACACAACCCTTTCTGCCTATGCAGCCTCCTGAATTTGGAAGGCCAGCCTAAGGCTCTGGAACCCAAAACAGATGCCCCTCCCTCCTCCAGCCAAGAATGGGGAGTGGAAAGGGGAGCCCTGTTTGCAGCCTGTTCTTTGGGTGGGGATTTGCTTGCTGGCTGTAGGTTGAGAAGCTTGCGGCTGACCCCTGTGCCTGCTCCTGGAGTCCTAGCCACCTCCCTCCAGTCCCTTCCTTAGCTCCTCCTACTTCATTTCCTTCTACTGGAACTTCCTATAGAAGTTGTCTGCCTTCCCTATAGCCCCACCCTTTCTCCCAGCCTGATTTGCCCTGCTCCCGACTCTATCACCACCCTGTAGCCCTGTTCCTTCACAGAATGGACCTTTTTGGTGGCGATTCATAGCCTAAACTTTCTCTGTACTTTTGAATTAAGCTTGAAACTCTTCCTGATCCTTGATCAGTTCCTGAGCTCCAGTCCTGACTGTGGGAATCAATCCGTCATTTGCTACCCGCTTCTTCCACTCCTCTCGTCATACAAGCCTGTGGCTGGGAGAGAGAGAAGATAGGAGAGGTTTAGGATACATTTTTTAGTAATTCACCCAGCCTCAGGTTCTGCCACGTCCCTCACTCAGTCCTGGGTTTGGGGTTCCCCCTGCTTTGACTCTCCCGCTGTGCCAGGACTCCCTGGCCTGTGGGATCATGTTTCATAATTCCTGGAAGGCCCCAGTACAAGCTCCCCACCCGGGGATTTCCTCCTTGGCCTCTGCACCTCATGCTCCGGAAACAGCTACTCGAGTGGTGGGTGTCGACAGCCTGAACGTAAGAGAGAGGGTCACTGCCTGTGGCCATCCCCACCCCCAGCCCATGGCCACAGACAGTAGGGATTTGGGCTATCTTCATCCTCTGATGCCACTCTCCATCCAGGTCATCCTACCAGTTCCTTAACCTCCCTGAGCCTCAGTTCCTTCATCTGTAGAAAGGGTTAGTGATATCTCCAGGGGTGGGGTGAGAAATGAGGTAATGTATATGTATCAGGCATTTCAGTAGACACTAGCTGTCTTCCCTGACTTGTGGACACCTGTCTTCTCTACTCACTGTCATCCCCTCTGCATTGCCTTCTTGGATATCCAACTGTCCACAGCCTGTAATTGTACAAGGGATAATAAAAAAAAAAAAAACTCACTGCCACCGAGTCGATTCTGACTCATAGTGACCCCTCCTTGGGTTTCCAAGGAGGTATCCCTACAAAAGTAGGTTGCCCAATCTTCCTCCTGAGGGGTGGTGGTAGGTTTGAACCACCAGCCTTCTGGTTATCAGTCAAGTGCCTTAGGCACTATGCCCCCAGAGCTGCCTGAATAGGGGATAGGAGGAAGCACCTAGAAGGTTCCCTGTGTTCCTTCCCTGTATTTAGTTTGAAGAATCTAAACCAAAATATAATAGCTCCAGTTAATCCTCACAAGGTCTATGTAGTTATAGTATTCCTGCTTATCACTGAGAATCATGCTCAATATCAAATACTAAGTCAGCCAGGGTGTGCACCCAGATCTGGCTAACTTCAAAGCCCATTTAGCACTTTCCTGAATGGCCACAATTTTTCTTAAGGCCCTGCCAGCATGGGGGCAGCCCAAGAGTACCCAAAGGATCTCAGAAGGGCAATGGTGAGAGGCACAGTAGGCATGCCTGGGGCAAGGATGGAAAAGTAATGCCCTCCTGATGGCAGGGTATCCTGGCAGCCTGGTCCTCTCCCCTCCTCCCCAGGTCCAAGAGCTAAAACTGAAACCTGCTCAGTTCCCAGAATGCATCATTTGGCAGCTGAGGAAAGGAATGAAATTTTGAGGCTCACACCAGGATAGTGTGGTCCCTGGGGCAGGACGTTGTGTTTCTCAGGGCTCTCTAGTGCCCCTAGCACCAGGCCCTGGCAGGGACACACTCACCCTGTACAGTTCAATGAACCACCATTGCCCCCACTCTCCTGCAGGTCTCCTGTGTCCGCATGCAGGGCCTCCTCTTACTGATCTTTGCCAAGCATCAGCATTTGCCCTTTATCCAGATCCTCTCTACCAAATCCACCCCCACTGGCCTCTTCGGGTACTGGGTAAGGACAGAGCTGTTGTCTCTTGAGTCATGAGCCAGGAAGGCCTCTGGTCCCTGGGCTGGGGAGGGCTGGATGCTTTAGAGCCGGGCAAATGGAAAAAGGAGTGAAATGAATCTTTGAAGTCTCCCCGGACCAGTGCCCGACAAACTTATTCTCTCACCTCTGAGGGGGTTTAACAGCCCTGAGACCCCAGGCTGGGCGAGCTGGGCACTGGATGGAGAGATGACTCTAGGAAGCTGAGTGTCTGGCCCTGGGAGGGCGTGGGGGAAGGTGAGGCCTAGGATGCGAGGAGAGGAGTGTCTCTAACCCAGAACAGCTTCCCACCCTTCTGCCCGCCTGTCCTCCCAGGGGAACAAAGGCGGAGTCAACATCTGCCTGAAGCTTTATGGCTACTATGTCAGCATCATCAACTGCCACCTCCCCCCGCACCTGGCCAACAATGACCAGCGGCTGGAGCACTTTGACCGGATCCTAGAGATGCAGAATTTTGAGGGACAGGATATCCCCAACATCCTGGACCATGAGTGAGTGTGGAGCTGCAAACTGGCACCCCGGTCCTCTCCCCCACACCCATCCAGGCTAGCATCCTCTCCCAGGTCACGGCTTCCCGGCCAGTCGGGTTACGCTCTTGTCTCCTTTCCTCTCCCAGCCCGTTCCTGGTGCCCCATCTGCCCTCCTATCCAGCTTTGCCTGCCTGGACTCTGGGAACCCCCTTCTCTTCCTCTAGCCCCGGTGTCCTGGCTAGAAACCTTGAACACTTCTGAACACCCCAGGTCAAGATCCTCGTGGTTCCTGAGGTCACCCGAAAGGCTGTTTGATAGCCGTTCCCGGTGGCCAGTTGAGGGAGAAAAAAAGAGAGCTACATCTTTTTGCCACTTGCCTCTCTGGGCTGGTGTCTTCAACTTGAATGGTGATGCAGGAGCTGTGAGAATAGTCCTGCTAGGTCCGTGCCCTTGGCTTCACCTGATGCTTTGTTAGCATTTGGCTTTTCACCTGTGCCCTGGAGCTTTCTGCTCTCCTGCAGCCCCTGGGCTGAGCAGGTCTGAGCCACCTCTTGATGCTCCCTTCTCTGACCTCACTACAAACCCTCAGACTGCCCTCCTTTATTTCTGAAGCCTCATCCTCTGGTTTGGAGACATGAACTTTCGAATCGAGGACTTTGGGTTGCACTTTGTTCGGGAATCCATAAAGAACCAATGCTACAGTGAGCTGTGGGAGAAGGATCAGGTATGAAGTGAGGGAAGGTCCTGGGGGTGGTATGAGCCTGTTGTCCGACAGGACAGGTGCCGAGAGTAGCTCGCATTCCCCAGCGGCTCTCTCCTTTCCCAGCCTCCGCAGCCCCTGCTCCTGGGCAGGGAGGAGTCCAGCAGGGCTTCGCAGCTGTGGGAGGGTCAGCCAGTCCTGTCAGTGCGTGACCTTCACTGGAGGAGCTGGGGTGCAGCAGCTGGGGGTGTTGATCATAGGAATGAGAAAGCCTTTGGCCCGCCATAGCCCTGCACCATGCAGCACCCCACTTGCATCCCTGCCACCTTATCCTCTGTGTCCCTGCCTTAAGCAGCCAAACCGACAGGTTCTTGAGCTGTTAAATACCCACCTTGCCATGTCATCTTTCCCATCCCCAGGCTTGCTTGCCTCCTGGAAGATGAGGTACCACCCTTTTGGGGGACCCTGGCTACTCCGGCTCTCTTCCCCTCTGACACATGTCTGCTAGTGGCTCCTAGAGAGAGAGAATTCAAAGCCTGGTCCCTAAGGTCCAGCACTGGGAAATGGCAGGCAGCTGCCTCCCCTGGGACTGTGGGGTGATATTTCCAAAAGGATTTAACTGCTCTCCCGGGTTTGGGAGGGGGGCGCCGAGGCTGTGGCAATGAGGAAGTGGAGTGATGTTTGACTCTTGCCCCAGTCGTGATGGCATGTGTGATCCTCTGACCGGAATGTGGTGTGGTGCCATCGGGTCAGGACTGTTGGGAGATGGCGACTGTGCTTTTCTCTGCAGCTCAGCATCGCCAGGAAATGTGACCCACTGCTCCGGGAGTTCCAGGAGGGCCCCCTGCTCTTCCCACCCACTTACAAATTTGATAAGAATTCCAACAACTATGACACCAGGTGAGGAGTCCCCACCAGGAGAGAGGCTCAGCTTGCTGAGGATCTGGAAATAGCCTGGGGGGAGGAAATGGGCCTACTTCAGATGAGGGCAGGGAGGCCCAGGGAAGAAGGTGGTGTTGGCCCTGGTGGTGGGGGCTGCTTCAGCATGAAACTGGGGGTGGGGAGTAGGAATGGATATAGCCATCACCTCTCTGGGATGGTGCCTTCTGCCCCCCTCGGGAGCTGCTGGCTGTGGGAGCTGTCCCAGATTGTCCTCAGAGAAAGGAGGATGGGGAGCTGGTGCAGGCAAGGGCCGGGGAGGAAGGGGTGGAGTCAGCTGACTCCTGTCTTGGAGCATCCTCGGAACCCCACTTTGCAGGACCTTCTAATAGCCAGACAGGGAGCAGAAAGCTCAGCTCAGCCAGTTAATGGTACTCATTACCCCTGCCCTGGCCTGTCAATGGGTAGGAACAGCATGGAAAGATGAAGCAGCAGTCAGTGAGGACTTAGGAGGGACAGCACAGAGATAGTGCATGTGGTAATGAGGAGCACAGCTGTGCACCTCACTAGCTGTCTGACCTTGGGCAAGATACATAAGCTTCAGTTTTGTCATCTGTAAAATGGGGCTGATAGCAATTCCACCTCATGGAGTTGATGATTGAGTGAGACTTGCTTAGCCCAGTGCCTGGCACCAATAAACACTGATTGATAACTGCTATTGTTATTTTTAGCTCTTTTTTTTTTTTTTTTTTTTTAATTTTATTTTGATTTGGATGAAGATATTGTTACTTTTAGACTCATGTCTTCAAATAGTAGTTTTGCTGAAAACCTTTCTAAGTAAGAAACTGAAAAGGGGCCAGGTAACCATTGAAACTGGGGTTTAGGGAGGGGAACAGAAGCAGCTCTGGCAACAGATCCCTGACTCCATTTCGGGCAAGACTTTAATCTCTGTAAAGAACCAGAAGAACCCCTGCCATGTTAATGGCAAGCAGGTTTTTGGTTCCTCCCACCAGGACTGTCTTATGAAGGCCTCTGGGCATTTTGGGGTTGGGTGGTTATCCCCACAGGTAGATCCAGAGGTAGAACTGCAGGCCTAGTATTGGAAGTGCCGTGGTGCAGCCAAAATGTCCCCGCCAAGGAAGGGGGTGTGGGTGAGCCATTTCAGAAGGGTGGAGCAAGACGGGTAGGGTCATGGCCAGGGCATGCTACACAAGTTATAGCCTGGGCAGAAAGGAGGGAAGAGGGCAGACTCTGGCTGGCTGGCCTGGGTCCACAGTTTCAGGGAAACTGCCAGTCTCCTCGACTAGCTATCAGAAATGGTAGGCCTTGGGGTCTGGGAACCTCTGCCAGTTGACTTCTAAACCTCATTTGCAGCAGGAAGAAAGCTGGTAACAGGCCATATGGCCAGGTGTCCCTTTGCCTTGGGTGTGATAGGAGATCACAGAGACTGGACAGTTGCAAACAGCTAGTTCTGCATGGATGGGGGAGAGAGGCTGAGAGGTTGAGGGACTTCCCCAGGTGGCTCAGCCAGGGAGGGGTAGAGCTGGGGCTCACACCTGAATTCTCTGGACTCTGTGGCCCACAGTGCCTCAGAATTCACAACCAGTCTTGCCAGCTGCAGCAAAAAGGAGGGCAAGGCTGGGACAGCAAACATTCGCTAAGGAGGAGGCAGAGACCAATTTCTGCATAATGGCTCATTGTGACTGGCGTTACTGAGCATTTACCATGTGCCAGGCATTGTGCAAGGAACTTTACATGCATCACTTAATTCTTCCCATGTCCCCATTCAGTAAGCATTGTTATTACTGACTTTTTACAAATAAAGAAGTTAAATCTTTACATAAGACAGTAACAGAGTAACTGATCCAGCAGGAATTTGAACGCAAGTCTGCATGATTGCAGTCCCATCAGCTTTCAGTACCGCTTCCCCTTGCCCAGAGCCCAGGAAATGAAGGAATGTCTGGGCAGGAGGAGGGGACACTAGGAAGGGACATCAAAACAAATATTCTGGGCTGGAGCCAAGGTCCAGAGGCAGCTGGGCATTCCTACAGCGGGCAGGGCCTGAGCCTCCATAGGGAACAGACTGGTATTCATCATGGGAAACCCAGTTCAGGCATTCTCTCTCGGGAAGCCATCCTTTCCCTGTCTCACTGACAGCTCCTCTCCTGTCCTTAGGCAGCCTCCGCACCTTATTCACAGTACGCCGCCAGTGTTGCCTTTAAGACATATCGTGCCTTATTGTGAATAGCACCTGAGACACAGATACTCTTAAAGCTTTGCCCTTGTTTTAGATTAACTTCTCAGACCTGTAACTAGAAGTTCAATAACACTTGAAGGCCCTGGGCACGTACTGTCAGATCGCTTTCTGTAAGTTTTATATTACTAATTCACATACATATCAGCAGTATGTAAGAGTGACGTCACCTTATTCTTTCCCAGAGGCATTCAATAAGCATTTTTTGAGCACTTACTTCCACCAGACCCTTGGGTGGAATTGTGTCCCTCCCAAAGGCTGCAATCCCAGCCCCACACAGACTTCAGCAGAACAGTGACGGGACAAATGAGCACAGTCCATCCTGGACCCTGGATGCCATTTGAGGGAGGAAAAACAGAGTGTGACTTTCTTGCTCTACTCCAAAGGCCTGGAGAGCAGAGAGGATCTGATTTATGAGCCTCCCTGGGATGGAGCACAGTGCCTGGCACATCTTTGAATGGGGAACCTAAGAGAACAAAAGGAGAAGAAACTGTATTTTAAGAGCAGCCAGCCAGTCTAGTAGAGAGACCCACCCATGGCAAGTGATCCAAATAAACACTGTCAAGCTCAGGAGTTGGCCAGTAAGAGATTCCCACAACACTGCATGGAAATGCCAAAGGGAGTTGGAGCGAGCGGTAAAGAGGCAGCAGCCGAGGCCAGCAGGGATCAATCAGAGTTGCCTTCAAGGGGAGTATCTTGAAGGAGGCAGCAGGGTTTGGCAGAAAGGAGCTGGACAGGTATTCTGATCAGTCGGCAGCACTGATGAAAGGCACCTTGAGCATAGCGCTTGACCTAGCCAAGAAGCTGGCCTATCCGAGCTGCACAAAGTGGCTGAGGGCAAATTGTGCGCAGGGCACGGTGTGCTGCTTTGCTTAGCCACCACAGTGTCCCTGAGCCAAGATGTAATGAGAAACAGGATCAGCTCCATTACAGGGACAGGTTAAAGGGCTGAGGGCGGGAAATCCTGTTAGAGTCAGAGACTGGCAGCAGGGTTTTGTTACAGTTGACATTGTGAGCCCAGTTAATCTCTCTGCTAGGTAATGAGCAGAGGATATTATGGTCATGTTGGTGCCCCAGTGACTTAAAATGCCTGACAGGTTAACCACAGCCCAGAGTTCAGTGAGACTCAGAAACAGAGCCCATCTACAAGGAGCCAAAGGAAAAGGTGCTTTCAGATCCTGAAATTAAACCTGTCACTACTTTTGGGTCAGTAAATTAGCTGAGCTTTCTAGAATCTTGCATTCGGACTCACAGCAACCCTACTTGGTTTTAATTTTTTGGAAGTAGAAAGCATACTGATTTATGTTCATAAACAATTCTTCTACCAAATTATGACCATCTGGACAGAAAGCCTGAGTATGGCCCTGCTCCGGTGATGCACTTTATAAGGCAGCTCTTGCTGCCTGGAAGAGGCAGTGGAAGGAATGTGGACTTCATAGTCAGCTTACCTGGGCATCTGGTTCCATCTGGATGGGGATCTCTCTCAGCCTCAGTGTCCTCCTGTAGCAGAAACATGTGACCTGGCTTGCAGAAGCAGAACAGTCTGTGAGGCACCTCTCATAGTGCCTGGCACACAGAAGGACCCAGGCTTTTTCTAATGATTACTCTTAGAAATGAGGAACTGGGAGAATATATGTCATATTTAATGTGTACACATTTATTTTGCTTATTTGCTTCTTGTCTTTTGTTTGTCAAACAGAAGCCCCTTATGGATCCTGTTGAGCTTATCTTCAGTTGCCCTGTGCATAATAAGGGCTCAGAAAAACACAGTTACAAAAATGAACAATACTGGTGCCTAGGGATAAGCCTGGACCAGGCAATGGAAAAGGAGGAAGGGATAGGCTGAGGTGCTGGAAGGAAGAAGGGACAGGCTATGGTTAGGAAATTGGGAAGGACCCTAATGTGAAAGGAGCTCTAGTGGTGTAGTGGGTAAAGCATTTGGCAGCTAACCAGAAGGTTGGTGGTTCAAACCCACCAGCTGCTCCATGGGAGAAAGATGAGGCAATCTACTTCTGTAATGATTTACAGCCTTGAAAACCTAGTGGGGGTCACTCTGAGTCATAATGGACTTGATGGCAGTGGGTTTTTGTTTAATTTTGTTTCAAAACCATAATAGGGAAGTGGAGTGGTGCTTTGAAAGGCAGAAGGGTGCATTAGTTGAGGTCATTACCACTTTGAGCATTAACTGTCCAAGGGTGGACTCAGGGATTCAGTCTAGGATGAAAATACCACATTCAGATGTCCTCTGAATACCACTCAGTAGAGTGAAAATTTGAAAACCACCCAAGGAGCCCACAAGCAGAAAGTGGTTTAGCCAGAGTTACCATTTCTTGACGACTCCATTGACACACCTTAAAGAAACTGAGACTTAAGGAGGTGACATCACTTGCCCAAGGGCACAAAACACTTTCTTTTTTAATTTTTTATGTGATTTGGGTGAAAGTTTACAAAGCAAATTCATTATTCATACAGCAGTTCATACACATTTTGTTTTGTGACATTGATTTCAATTCCCCACAATGTAACAGCTCTCTTCTCATTTCCTCCCTGTAGTTACCTCTTCCCTGTGTCCTTTCCTATGCATTCCTGCCACCTTGAGCTATCTCCCTGTGGAATTACTGCCCTTCTGTTCTCCCAGGATTGATCACTCTAAGGATTATCTTTCTAAAAAAAACAAAAAACAAACTCACTGCCCTCAAGTCAGTTCCAACTCATAGTGACCCCTCCTTGAGTTTCCGTGGTGGTGTCACTACCTACGGAAGTGGAGTGCCCAGTCTTCCTTCCGAGGAGTGGTTGGTGGGTTTGAACAGCCAGCCTTCTGGTTAGCAGTCAAATGCCTTAGACACTACGCCACCAGAGCTCCTAGGAGTATATCTACCTGATGTAAATATTCTCCTTATGTGCCTTGTCTATTGTTGGCTGGAAGCCACAGGAGTGAGTTCAGTTCCAGACCTAAAGGCCAGGGGCACATAACTTGTTTTGTGTTGTTTTGTTTTTAACTTGTTTTTATGTATGATTTGGATGAAAGTTCACAGAGCAAATTCACTTTCCATACCACAGCTTACATACACTTTGTCTCATGACTTTGACCACAATTTACCACAATGCAACAGCTCCCCTCCCACTTCCTCCTCATAGTTACCTCTTCCCTGAGGGATACATAACTCTTAAAGAACAGGGCAGAGCTGTCCCCCAGCTGGGCTCTGATTCTGGAGGCAGAATTCTCTACCTTGCTACCATTCTGCTGCCATCATTGGAATTAGCTCTGGTAATATAGTGCCTAAGGCACTTGACTGCTAATCAGAAGGCTGACAGTTCAAACCCACCAGCCGCTCCTTGGAAGGAAGGTTGGGCAATCTACTTCCATAGTGATACTGCCTCGGAAACACAAGGAGGGGTTGCTATGAGTCAGGGCCGACTCAATGGCACATAACAACAACACTGAAGTGACAGCACTATGTCAAAATGTTTATTTAAAACAGTAATTCAATAAAATAGAAGAGAAAGATAACATTTAAAACAGATTACAAGTATATGAAACTGTATACATTAAAATCAGATGGGCACTTTTGAGTAGAGAGGTTGAACTTGGAGCTTTTTAGCTGGCTTGGGTTTTATAAGCAGTTTGTTGGGCACCTACTATATCCCATGCCCTCTGCTAATGCTGAGGAGACTCCAAGAGCCAGTGCTTTTTTTGCCTTCAAAGTTCACACACTAACCAATAGGCTGCCTGGGAGACAGCAAATTACAATATAATGTAATGTGTAAGTACTGGTATAAAAAGTTTCAGAAGCAGAAAGGTGAGGTCAAGAGCAGCTTTATAACAAAGGCAGTATTGGAATTGGACCTCTTCTAGGTAAAGAAGGGTGTTCCAGGCAGAAAAAAACTGCAAAAGCGAAGGTCCAGAGGCTTGAGACAGTCACCAAAGTGGGGTGGGTCTGGGGAAATGATAGGAGGTAAGGTGGGGCAGGGCGCGGGGTCAGACACCTGAGCATCTTGAAAACCCCATACTTGGGGACTTGAGTTTATTCTGGAAGAATGAAGACTCCTTAAAGGTTTTGAGTTAAAGTAGGGAGGCATCTGATCAGACTTTACTATGCTTTGGGTTCATTCAAGAAAGGGGAGCCTCACCAGGGGGAGAGGAACCCCAAAACAACCACTGCCCTCCCTATATCACTTCCAGCACTCAGGGCTGATGGTCTCCTCTTGGAGGGTGGGGTCTGAGGGCCCAGATGGACTTCGAGACTGTCCTAGTAGCTGCTTGGGCAGGGCTGGGTCAGGGATCAAAGACTTGCCTGTCTTTGGGTAACTTCAGTTACCTAGAGGAGGAAGCACCCCACCCCTATCCCCAGGGGCTGCACGGCCTCTCATGCTTCTCAGGGGAGCTGGTAATTGAATGATAGACAGGTTTCAGTTGACTCTGGAGAACAAAGACTCAGTTGCCAGTGTCTGCAGAGTGTTTTCTTTGTATCAGGCATTATGCTAAGCATTTTATGTGCTTTATCTCATTTAATAATCTCAGCAACCCTAATAGGCAACTACTAATTATCTCCATTTTCATAGATGAGGAAACAGGCCTAAGAGGGGTTGGCATGGTGATTAAGAGCACGTGTTCTGTGGTCATGCTGCCTGGCCTGGACTCCTGACTCCCTCACTGTGTGGCTTTGAGAAAGTTCCTTCCCCTCTAAGCCTCAATTTATCCACCTGTAAAAAGTGAATGATAACAGTACTGGTCTTAGGTATATGTTGTTGTTGTTGTTGTTATGTGCCGTCGAGTGGGACCCAACTCATAGTGATCCCTCCTTGGGTTTCCAAGGCGGTTTCACTGTGGAAGTAGATTGCCCAACCTTCCTTCCAAGGAGTGGCTGATGGGTTTGAACTGCCAGTCTTCTGGTTAGCAGTCAAGTGCCTCAGGCACCACGCTACCAGAGCTTCCCTTAGGTATATAGCATATCAATAAATAAATAAACCCACTGCCATCCAGTCGATTGTGATTCAGAACAACTCTATAGGACAGAGTAAAACTGCCCTGTAGGATTTCCAAGGCCATCAGTCTTGATGGTAACAGACCGCCTCATCTTTCTCCCACAGAGTGGCTGGTGGGTTTCAACTACCACCCTTTTGGTTACCAGCCAAATGCCTTAGCCACTGCCCCACCAGAGCTCCTTAAGTATATAGGAAGCACTGCAAAAATACTTCCCTTCCTTTTCCTAAAGGCCCTACTTCTAGTATAGGGGGAAGCCAAATTCAAGCACTGTCTTTGTCTATTTGCAAATTTCAAATTTTAACTTCTTTGATCTGCTGCTGCTTATGTTCAAGACAGAGCAAAGCTTTGAAATGGAATGTTTCTGAGTCATGATTTAATTCATAAAATGGTGGGCTGGACTGAGGCGACAGAGGCCTTAGAGTCTAATGGCACCCCCACCTCTTGCAGTGCTTATTTCATCACTGGCCAGGCATCTCATGGCTGGTGTTAGGGGCTCCAGTAGGCTCATGGGGACACCTTCCTGCTCTTATGCTGACCCTTTCTTCCCTATTCTCCCTGACCCCCAGTGAGAAAAAACGCAAGCCTGCGTGGACTGACCGCATCCTGTGGAGGTTGAAGCGGCATCCCCAGGCCAGCCTCCGCACTCCTGGTCGACTGGCCCCCCACTTCTCCCTATCTCTGAAGAGCTACATCAGCCACATGATGTACTGCATCAGTGACCATAAGCCTGTCACCAGCACCTTTGACTTGGAGGTGAACATCCGAGCTGCCCGGTACTTGGCATGGGAACAGCCATACTGGGCCATATCCCCAAACCCCACCAGCCCTGGGCTCTGATGCCAGCTTATCCCCAGGGAGACCTGTAGGAGGACATGACTCCCTTTCCTCCCAGGTCAGGTATCCCAGCTCTGAGGAGCCGTTGATGGCTCCCCCTGTCAAAGACATGTTCAAACGCTTGGTGAATAGGTTTCCATTTCCTCCCCATACTTCCCTTGGGGCTGATGAGTTCCATTACGTTTATTACCTACTTTGTGAAGTAGTACTTTTATTTGTCCTAAACTTACCTGGGTCAAGTTTCAAAGGGAGCTCCCTCCATCCTTGTATCTTGCCATCCAATGACCAAGGCAGTGTTCACCTCCTTCAAGCTGCTGGCTGGCCCTTCAGCCTTCACGTTTTCTACTGGTTTGTTCTTAGGCCCTTGTGCCCTCCCAAATTCCTACAGCTGCTCTCTCCAGAATCTCCTCCATGAAATTGGGCCTTTGGGTCAGGAGCCCTCGGGGTATGAGAGCCTTTGCCAGCTTCTTAAACCCCTCAGCACTTGGCTCCCTGTATTACCCACCTGGCTCTCAGCCCCGTCATCCTTGGCAGGGCTGGCCACCCCAGCAAGCCTTTGGCCCTTTCTCTTTCCAGCTGGCCAGCCAAAGTCTGATACATTTTAAGGCAGCCTAGTGGAGTTCTGTGCCCATTCCCCCACCCCACTCCCCACCCCAGTGGCCTCTTCCCCTCACTGACCCAGACACATTGGAAGGGCACAGGGCAGTCTCCTCAGGGGGGATTGATAATAAGAGATTTCAGCCCCTTCTCACCCCTGTGTATAGATGAAGCCATTGGTTTCTTCCCCACTGATCACCCTGATCCCTGAGGGCCTGTGGACCATGGAGAACGACATGGTGATCAGCTACTCCTTGGCTCCAGACTTCCCCAGCAGCCCCTGGGACTGGATTGGACTATACAAGGTGACATGGCGGGCAAGGCAGAAAGTCTGTCAGCCACACACTGACACACACTGGTTTGTCTTTCCTGGGACCTGGGAAGGGAGACTACAAAGCTTACCCTCACCCGCCTCAGGCCCCAGGTGTCCTTACTTAATCCAGGGACTGACATTGAGGGGAGGAGGGTGGTATGCAGTATGATAGCCAGTCCCAGAAATGAGATTGTCCTCTTCTCCGGAGTTGCGGTAGTCTGTTGCTCTCCCCGGTCACTGACCACTCCAATCCTCCCTGCAGGTGGGACTCCGCCACATAAATGACTACATGACCTATGTCTGGGTCAGGGATAACCAAGTCTCCATCAGCGATGGACTGAACCAGGTACCTGGCCCCTCCTGAGACAAGTATTCCACATCCCCAGCATGCAGGCTTCCCTGAAACTCCTCTGTCTTCTGCAAAGAACAGAGGGCTGGATAACTTGTGAGCTGGTTGGGGCCCAGGACTGTGGAACTGACCCCATTCCTGGCCCTTCTCCCCTCTAGGTATACATCAACACCAATGATATCCCCGAAATTGAGGATCAGTTTCTCCTCTGTTATTATAGCAACAATCTACATTCTGTGGTGGGGATAAGCAAACCCTTCCAGGTAAGGGGTGCTGGTGGCTGTAAGGGCAGGGCTATCACAGAGATCTTGAGCCCATCCTGGTGTTCCCTGAGGCCACAGGCCTTGGATCCAACTGATACCCATAGCGTTCTATCTGGGGGGGGGGGGGCAGGGGGACGGAAGTAATGGAAAGGCACAGAGGGAAGCCTGTTCTTTGTCCTACTCACCGCCTGTTTTCCCCCTGCAGATCTGTCCCCGATCCTATTTTGGGGAAGACTCACTGAGTGAAGCCCATCTACAGATCTGAACCAAGATAGGAGTGACTCCAGGGCGGAGGCCAGAGCTGGCTCTGCCTTATCACTGCCAGGAGTGTGGGGGCCCAGTGTTTCCCCTGAGGAAGCGGCCAGGCACCCTCCACGTAGCCACGTCCCAGAGTGAGCTCTAACCTGATGTCTCTGCTCTCTCCAGTCTAGATCTCTCTGGCACTGGCCACTTAAATACAAGTTTTCATTGCTGGAATGTGAATGAAATCAGCTTGTTTGTCAACTGTGAAGACTTGGGGACAGTCCACAGGAAGTGGGAAGGAGCCTCCAGCCTGCTTCTCATTTCTTGACCCACCTACCCCCACTTCCAGTGCCACTCAAGCAGGCCTGCCAGGCACATGCCCCATCTGGCACAGGCCTGCATTCTCGTCACACTCTCTGGGCCTCAGGCTGCCTGGGAGGGCTAGATGCTCCTGTCTGCATGGTCTAGTTGGCACAAGCAGCATCGGGATCCAGGAGTCTTGGCATCTCATTGCTTGTCCTCCTGAAGGATGGGCAGAGGATCTGGGCTCCCTGCTTTTAGCAGGAGCAGTACGGCTAAGTGGGCAGGATGGAGGTGCCCCATTACCCAGGCTCTTCCATAGGGGTTTTGGGTAGGTTGATGAGGCTCCTTATGCCAGTGAAGTCTTTCCCCTTGCCCCCCTGCATGGAGTCTGATCCAGGAAGTTCCAGGACCCAAGCAGAGAGAATTGGGAAGGACCTGGTTAGCTTCTGCTGCTGGAGCAGGCCCCAGCCTCCAGCCTGCCCTCTTGTGAGGGTTGGGCAGGTGGTAGAGGTGCTGGGGCCACAGGTTTTTCCAGGGTGGTCCCTGACAGCTCAAGTTCATCTGCCCCCACCACCACCACACACACACCCTTGCCAGGAGTCACTGGGCAGAAGCGGATCTTCTCTTTGGACCTAGAAGTGGGAGCAGACAGGAGAGAGCCAGGATCAGGCTATTTTGGAGGATCTGGCCCTGGGGTTCTTCAGACGACATTCTCCAGGTGCTGCTGGACATGGTCTGTCCCTGCTCCTACCATTTGCTGTAGCCAGTGGTGACTCAGTGGCCCTTCTTCCAGGAGAAGATACCTCAGGGAGCCCGCTTGCAACCGAAGACTGAGGGTCACCTCAGCTGCTCTCTGTTCTGTACTCCACCTTGCGAACGTGTATTAAGACCTGTCCCCCTGGCTTCTGTCAGCCCATGGCTGTCTGTTTTCTGTGTCTCTTACATTGGGATAATTAGAAACATGACTTTTACACTTGTATGTGACTCCTTAATGATGGTGATGGGAAGGCACTTAGATGGTGAGCCTAGGACTCTGCTAGACTCCTGGGACAAGAGCCCTGCAGATTCAAACTAGATTGACTATATGTGAGGCTGGCCTACGTGGCCCAGATGGGAATGGGATGAGGCTTCGAGTGCTGACCCAGTTGGGACACATCGCTTACACTGTGGTATGCTTAGTTTACTCTGCTGTTAAGTAGATTCCTCGGAAGGAAGATTGGGCAGTCTACTTCCGTAGTGATGTTGCCTGCCTTGGAAACTCAAGGGGGGGTTGCTATGAGTCAGGTCTGACTCGATGGCAAATAGCAACAACAACATAAGTAGATTAGGTTTCTTGGAACTGAGAAGGCTCAGGGAAAAGGTGCCTGCCATACTGTCACTAGTTCATCCTTCCACCCCTCATTCCCTGGTCTTGAGCCTTGTTAAGCTATCCAGAGGGCACCATCTTTTCTCTCTGTCCCACTTCTCCTTCAGTCCCTTCCCTGCTGAATTCTCCCCCATGGTAACTTGTATCCTTGCCCCCAAGACACATACACACCTGAGGTTGCCCAGAGCCCTGAGTGTTCCCACTGTCCCCCTTGTCCCTTCTCACATGCACAACCATCATGAGCACTGCCACACAGCACCCTGCATTTGTTACATGGGGAAGCAAGGCTCAGAGAAGTGGTGTGTCCTTCCAGTACAGTAAGCTGTGGTTGCCGTGGCCAGAGCAGAAACGGAAATGCAGTCTGGACACTGGGTTTTGAACTAGCATTCCATTGCTTCCCACTTAGGATTCTCAGTTGTCTATAAAATACAAATAAGGTACCTACTCACAAGATTGTTGTGAGAAGAGTACTTGAAAAAAAAAAAAAATTAAAAAGCTGTATACTCACAAAGTACCCATATACCTACCTCCCTTTTGTAAACTTTGTTCTGATGATTACAGCCCTCAGGCTGGGTCTTGGGCCTCCTGACTCCAGAGGTTTTTCCCCTTTTTTTCCTCCTGCATGTGGTTTGCCCACCTCTCCTGCCCTTAAGTCTTCACACACCCCTGCTCCAGGCTCCCAGTGCAGGGCCCCTGCTTGCCCTGGGAGGGGTGAGTCCAGCAGTAATTGAGAGGCGGGAAGGGAAGGGGGAGAACTCTCCCTCCTTTTGGCCCCAATCAGGATATGGCGGCTCTGGGCCCAGCCCTGACCTCTGGGTGGAAACAGGAAACAAGTGAGACTTGGTGTGCACTGGGTCTCTCTGCTTGGCTCCATGGCTGATAAGGGCCATTGTGTGGCCACCGGGGATGAGACTGCTTTGGATGGATGTGCTTCCCGGAGGAAGGAAGGAAGCTTTGCTGGCCTTTCCTGGGCGGGGGAAGCTGTGGGGAGGGGAGGGAAGGGTGCCTGGGGAAAGGTGCCTGCACACGGGGCTGCTGAAGCCACCGCGGGTCTGCTGGACTCCAGCTCCTCCCATACCAACCTCTCCCTCTGGAAAAGTTCGTTTCCCCCCGTCCACTTCCCTCTTCTCACTTCCTATAAGGCATGGCCAGAGACCAGAAGACTCAGTCCCAGGCCAGGAAAGTGTCAACTTTGTGATTTGGCAACAATAAAGATAGAAAAACAGGAACATTAGGGGTCGGGGGCAGCCGGGGGTACAAACAGGGCTTGAGGTGGCCCACACCCAGGGAACCCAGGAATCAACCTCCTGAGCATCAGAAGCTCAGAGGAAGTTGGACAGGGGAGCAGGACAGAGTCCTCTTCACAGTGCTCTCCTCCCTCTCTGCCAAGACCCTCCTCTACCCAGCATGGCTAGCCCTGCGCAGCCCTGGCCCCCCATGCTCCAGAGGCTCACCTGCCACTACGGGAAGCAGGCAAGTTGGGGGGCGGGACAACCAGAGGGGCAATGCCTATTCGTGGGCCCTCTTGGTTTAGGGAAGGATGTGCTCTCCGGGAGCAGCCAGTGCTTTCCAGCTGACACCAGGGAGTGGGCAGCAGCAGAGTACCAGCCATGCGGGTGCTGAGGAAAAGGGCCTCCTACCCTTTGACCGGGTGGCTGCAACAGCTCCTCTGGTTACCTGGGACAACAGGCATTTCCTCCATCCCTCAGCCCCTCCTCTTCCTGCCCCAAGCCTGTGGGCCAACTGGCCTCCCAATCAGACCTGGGCCACTCCAGCTGTGTCCTGAGGAGCTGGACCAGCCACATCCCCTGGGGCTGGAGTTGAAGCTGAACCAAGTGGCCATCCAGGCGTGAGACCATCGATTCCTGGCTCCAGGAGCAGTTAGACCCAGTAGGCGGGCGGGCAGGCTTGCACTCGGAGGCTCCAGTGCTCAGCAAGCTGGCTCTCCACAGGCCAGGATGGCGCTGCAAGTGGAGCTGATACCCACTGGGGAGATCATCCGCGTGGTTCATCCCTACAGGCCCTGCAAACTCGTAAGCGGGGGTGCTCCAGGCTGGGAGGACGGATCGTGGGGTTCCCCAGAGCTCTGCAACCCCATCTCAAGCAAACCTCTCCCAAAAGAGGTGGAAAGCAGGGAGGGATTCTGCTCCTTGGTGGGGCTGGAACTGGCTGGAAAATGGCATAAGTGGAAGAAAAGGCTAAGAATTTAAGGGCCACAAGGAGCAGGGCTTTTCAAAGCGGAGAACTGTGTTTGAATCCCTTCTCCTCCAACTCCCTGAACCTCAGTGGCAGGGCTATGAAATGGGCATAACAGCACAAATGTGACAGAGTTACTTGCGGTAGAAAGACTAAGCTCCGGAAGCATAGTACAGACTCAGTTAATGCCTTCCCTTTTCCTTCTGGCGCCCGGGAACTGAGGCCTGCCTGTCTCAGAGATGTGGTGCGGGCGTGAGTGCCACAGCAGAGAAGAGGTTAGAAATAAGAGAACCGCTCTGGCCAAGTAGCGGAAAGGTCTGGTTAGCTCTGTGGACCTAAGGAGGGGGACCTAAGATGAGTGGGTCGAGTCGCCCGCCGTAAAGTGAGTGAGTGAGTGCATGAATGTGACGCGCCTCGCCCTGGGAGCTGGTTGTGGGGTGTGCGGCACTAGTCAGACGCGGGCCAGGACCAGGCCGGTCGGGGCGGGGCCGGAGGGTGCGCGCGCGCGCGCGCCGGGGCCTGAGTCCTGCCCGGGATGACGACAGGCGGCAGCCCGGCCCCCAGCGGGCCCTGGGCGGGGAGAGCGTGCCGGGGCCGCCGATTCCCGAGCCAGCCACGCCGCCCAGCCAGGCCCTCGCTCGCGCGCCGGAACAGCCGAGCTGGTGAGTACGCGGGGCGCGGGCACTGGGCGGGCATCTGCCGCGTGGCCCCGGGAGGCCTCCGCTGACTGGCGAGATAGGGGAAAGGGCAGGAGGCCGGGCGCCGAGTCGGGCCAGCGTTGCCGAGCGGGAGGCGGGAGTCACGGACCAGAGGATGGCTAGGGACGGAGAGTCAGCTTGGCCTGGTCCGAGCCGGCTCCCAGGAGCCGTGCCACCTATTTCTGGTGGAGACTTAGTTTACTTATCTGTAACATGGGGGCAGGGGAAAGCATTCTGGGGCGCTGGACCCAGGTATCCTGCACGCCCTCCGGACTCCCCCTGCCTTCCCCTCTGTTCTGCTCAGTCTTTGGGTTCCGGAGAAGCTGCTCAAGCCCCACCCCTTTCCGTTCTCCGCCCCTGGGGCCCAGCCGCGCGAGTGCCCAATGCGCGCCTCAGCTAGGGAGAGTAAGGAGGGTGAGGGGCTTGGAGATGAATGAGAGAATGAATGACTGGCTCTTA